ATGAGAAATGACAGGAGTTACTCTAGCAGACGATTTTTCTTTCTAACATTCATACGTATTCACCTATTAAACAGGAGACCGAGATATTATTCTGTCCTATCTACTACCTATCGCCACATCTTACGGGCACGTTCTATGGTCACATCCATTAAAGTGTAAGTGATGTTTCAACATCAAATCCCCCCTCCCTTCTCTTTTGATTTTCTCATAGTTGTTTTTCTTTTAGTTGTTTGATGTCGCCGACTTTTACAGATATAACTACTTTGCCTTGATCTATTTCTATTTAGTTCAGTGGGCATGCGCAAATTACCATTTCCCATCACGTGGGTTTGTTTATACGTCACAATTACAATCATACTAACGCTGATAATGAGTGTAACTGGGTCATACCAGGGAGCTTTGATGTGTGGTAAATCTAGGGTACTTAATGGACTTACGGACCCCTCGACAATTGTATTACTCACGTAATACATATACTAAAATTGGAACGATACAGAGAAGATTAGCATGGCCCCTGCGCAAGGATGACACGCAAATTCGTGAAGCGTTCCATATTTTTCGAATCTTGATACGAGATCCTTTTTACAAACCCTTATCCTAACGCCCGGTATATGATGCTATTTCTTTTTTAATTTCGATGTTTCTTTGGGATCAGCTTTAAGGCAGTTCTTTGAATGACAGCACGGTTATACATAGGCCTAATTTAGGTAAACAATAATACAACGTCATAACAATCGCCGCTTAAAACAATTCAATGCATTGTTCTTGCTGTTTGATGCCAGTATTGTAGGTTGAAGTGCCGAAGAAGGTTTCCGAAGCCAATGAATTGCCAAACAACTCAATTACGTCATAATTAGCAATACAATTGAATTATATTTGCTTCCACAATGCGACGATAATTGCACTTATAACCCTTCCAACCGCATCAAAACTATTTGTTGCTATTATAGACAGATGGATATACACTTATCAATAAAACTTGTCCTATTATCATCAATTAGAACTTGAAATTGGCACTCTTTTCCAAATGACGCTATTGAAACACGCGTTTTCACTTCGTTTGTACCACATTGACATTGAGAAATGACTAGGAGTTTACCTCTAGCAAGCGATTTTTCTTTCTAACATACGTATTCACCTATTAAACAGGAGACCGAGATATTATCCTGTTCTATCTACTACCTATCGCCACATCTTACGGGGACGTTCTTTGGTCACATCCATTAAAGTGTAAGTGATGTTTCAACATCAAATCCCCCCTCCCTTCTCTTTTGATTTTCGCATAGTTGTTTTTCTTTGTGTTGTTTGATGTCGACGACGTTTACAGAAATAACTACTTTGCATTGTACTATTTCTATTTAGTTCAGTGCGTATGTGCAATTTACCATTTCCTATCACGCGGGTTTGTTTATACGTCACAATTACGATGATAATGGGTGTAACTAGGTCATACCAGGGAACTTTGATGTGTAGTAAGTCTAGGGTACTTAATGGACTTACGGACCCTTCACCAATTGTATTACTCACGTAATACATATACTAAAATTGGAACGATACAGAGAAGATTAGCATGGCCCCTGCGCAAAAGGTGGGGCATAAAGTTCTCCGTGTTGGGGGAGAAAGGGGGGAAAGAGGGGCAAGAAAAAGGGAGAGACCTGTGTGTTACTATTCATAGTAATGTTCCAGTTTTCTTCTATTAGTGCATTTGTTTCACTATGCTTCTTTGAGGATATTTTTACCTATTTTTGTGATCAATTTTAGAGTTTTCTCAGCAAATATTTATATTTATAAGTTTTCCAACATATGGACGAATGTGAGAATTGAACTCACCACCTCCAAAAAATGGAAGATCACCAGTTTCACCTTTTTTGGTTGGAAAACTTTTCTTATAAGATTTGGCCAAAAAATTCTTGTTAAATACCTTTGAATGAAATGAGTAGCAAAGGTACATATATTATATTA